CGATGCAGTCGGTCCTCCATATGCATGGGTTCCACATTTGCAGATTCAGTCAACTGCAGATGAAAAATATTTTTTTTAAGTTCCAGAAAGTTCCAAGGAGAAAACATGAATTTGTTGCACATTGGCAACTATTTACATAGATGTAAATTGTATTAGGTATTATACGTAACCTAGATACGATTTAAAGTATGTAGGAGGATGTGCATAGGTTATATGCAAAGACTACTCCATTTTATTTAAGAAACTTGAGCATGCAATGATCTTGGTGTCCCCAGGGATGGAGGAGGGCCTGGAACCAATCCCCCATGGATACCAAGGGACAACTGTATACACTTTTCCGTACATATATTATACTTAGGTTTGAAATAAAAATCATATCATGGAAACAAGCTCAAGTTTCTCATCAAATTTTTAGATTTTATTGAGATGTTTTATATAAATTCAATATTTCATATCTCCCTAACACTTTGCCTTTTACTTACAATTACATAATATAAAGAAAAATAATGGATTTTTTTCACTGCATCCCATATAGACACCTCCTAATCTCCATCAGTTTATCCTTGCACACTGCCCAATTCTGATCATTTATCATGTGTAGATGTAAAAAAAGTTGGGAAGCACTGCTACAGGAGACATCTGTCTAGGACCTCTTCTTCTATAATATAGAGTCTCATTGTCCTTTGGGGAACTACCTCCCTTTGGGTGAATCAAGGTAGCTGAGACCTGATAATTGCTTAGCTTTTTAAAAAATCCTATTACACCTCACATTCATCCAATAAATTTCTCATTTTATTTAAGTTAGCAATATTTAGTCTCTATTCTCTGGACAGTACGTACTGATACATAACTCCAGTGCTAGCACACTGTGATCTATACATAGTTGATGATGAACAAATAAAACACAAAATGTTTATAAAATGATATTGGACAACTGATTTTTGTCAAAGCACAAAGGCAACACAGTGGAAAAAGAATAGCCTTTTCAACAAATATTGCTGGAACTATTGGTTATCTATATGTAACAAATACGAACCAAAATGCCTCGTACCATAAATAAAATTTAACTCAAAATGCATCATAGACCTAAACATACAGCCTAAACTGTAAAACTTCTAGAAGAAAACATAGGAAATGGCCTTTTTAAGTTAGGTTAGGCAAAGATTTCTTAGAAATGACACTAAAAGCATAATTCATAAAAGAATAAATTGGACTTTACTAAAATTTAAAACTTCTGCTCTTAAAAATACACTATTAAGAAAATGAAAAGACAAGCCACATACTGGGAGAAGACCTTTGCGAAGCATGTAACTGACAAAGAACTTGTATCCAGAATATATAAAGAACTCTGAAAATTTACAAAAACAAACAACCCAATTTTTAAAAAATGTAACGAAGATCTGAGCAGCCACTTCACCAAAAAAGATATGCAGATGGCAAATAAGCACATAAAAAGATGCTCAACATCATTAGTCATTAGGAAAATATAAATTGAAACCACAAGAAAACATTATACATCTATTAGAATGGCTCAAATTACAAACGGCTGACTACACCAAGTGTCCATGAGGACATTTTATAAACATTTTATTTTATGGAGGAAATGGAACTCAAATATACTCCTGATGGGAATGTATTGTAAAATGGTACAACCACTCTGGGAAAAAATTTAGCAGTTTCTTAAAAAGTTAAACATACATCTACCTATGATTCAACCATTCCACTTCTAGATTTTTATCCAAGAGAAAAAGGAAATATATGTCCATACAAAGAATTGTACACAAATGTTCATGGCAACATTAATGGTAATAGCCCCAAACTAGACACAACCCAAATGTCCATCAACAGATGACAAACTGCAGTGCATCCATATAATGGAATATACTCATCAATAAAAAGGAATGAACTACTGGTACACAAAACAACATGGATGAACGTCAAGATAATGACACTAAGTAAAAGAAACCAGACCAGAAAAAATGTAATACTTACTGTCTGATTCTATTTATGTAAAACTTTAGAAAAGACAAATGAATCTATAATGACAAAAAGTAAAATAGTGGCTGCTTAGGTGTGGGAGGCATGGAGGGATAAGAGAAAGAAATTACAAAGGCGCGTGAGGAAACTTGAGAATGATGGATTTATTCACTTGAATATAGTGATGTTTTCAAGGGGGTATACATATATAAAAACTTATCAATTTATACTCTTTAAATATGCTCCATATATTATGTCAATTATATCTCAATTAAGCTAAAAATACCTTCAGCTCAGCCATCAGATTTTGAAAGGAGCAGAAAGGATGCAGAATGGAAATCTTGGTTAAAAGTCTCAGTGAATTTTGTGAATTATCCAAGTATGCCAGGAATTCATGCTTCCTCTGCCTAGCTGAGCTTCAGCACAGTTTAAGGAGCCATCTCCCTGATATTCTCCAGAAATGGTGACAACCGTCATTATTGGGTCTGTTTTCTGTTAGAAAATGACCCAATCAGTATAAAATGAATTCTGTGTCTTGTGAGAGACTGTCAATTAAACATAAAATCCACACTTACGAACATTTGTAAAGGGCTTTCTCCTTGCAAGATAATTTTAATATTGAGAGTGAACGTTTTGTATGTGAATTCCAATACAGACACACTCGTTATTTAATGTATCAGCACCTCAGTTTTCTCACCTGTGAAATGCCATAAGAAATAAGAAAAGCCAGGAAGCTAAAAAGAGCAGATTTTGCCAGATTTATTAATTCTTCCTTTTTGGGCAGAGCCTCTTCGTTCCCTCTCTGCTCTGAGAGGTGTCCATTTCTTCCCAACTCCACCGGCAGTAATTATCTTGAGTGAGTCAAGCTTCTCTCCCAGAAGATTCATCCCTCTATCACTAGACTCCTCAAGAGAGATCCAAGAGGAAGGTCCCTGCCATTGCCCTGGCTGGCCATTAAATTAGTCAAGAAGGTGTCCAAGACTCTGCTGTGACTGGGTACCACACTGATGTCTTGGGCTGGCCTTGAGCTCTGTGCATTGTGTATTCTGGAGGTTGAGCTTCACTTTCCAGACAATCATTTTTTGTTGCACGGCAGGATGGGGAGTATCTCAACAGCATCCCCATTCCTAATTGCAAGTGGAGATAGTTTTACAGGATGGCCTGTGTTCTCCGGCCTTTGACTCTTTAAGGTCGGATACAAGAACTAGGACCCACAGAACAGGAAAAGTGGTTGTGTCCACAGACTGTAGCATTAAGAGGCTCTAGCTTCAATTTCCAGCTGTCAAAATGTGTGGGACTTTATCATCTCCAAAACTCAATTTTTTTTCATCTCTATAATGGGGCCAAAGCCATCTAATTTCTTTAATTGTTATTAACTTCCATTATAAATTACAGCAGACTGGCCAATTATTAACTTGAACACTAAAAATAGCATTTAACACACTAACTCAACTTTTTATTAAATATAAACTTAAATGCTTGAATAATTATAACTTACGGAGAAAACAAAGCTTTCCTCTTCTGAGTTAAGAATTTGAAAAGACGAGACGTAGAAGCAAACCAAAATCAAGTCCTGACACGATACAAGCCTCAAGAAGCCAAGCAGGTTTGCCAACAAAGTTCCGCCTCCGTGCAAACTCTACCCACTTCCGGCTGCCCCACCCACTTTCTAACACTGGAACACCGCCCCTCTCTGCGAGGTCCCGCCCCATGCACCTGATCCTGGTGTCCATTGGGCAAATACAAAAGCTGTATATACACCCAGCACACGCACTTTTGGCAGGGGCGTCTTCGCGCCTGCGCAGCAGCACCGTCAGGCTGCTGGGGACTGGGCGCTGGGGACTGGGGATTGGGGACTGGGGGCTGGGGGGAGGGGGGCAGAGGTCAGGCCGAATCTTCCTCCGTAATAAGAAGCTACGCGTCCCGCGGTCCTGGCTCCGTGGGTCCGGTCGGATCGGGCCTGGGCGCTGGAGCTGCTGTGGCTGCCGCCGCGGCGAGTGCGATGGAGGCTGTGCCGGGGCCCAGCGCTCACGCCGGGGGAGGCCGAAACTGCCGGAGGTTCTAGTAGATGAGGCGGCGGCGGCACGGACTCTCCATGAGCAAGCGGCGGCGGCGACGGGTGCGGGGGCACCGGCGGTTTTCGGTCCCCGGGGAGGTACGAAAAGTCGGCTTCCTGGTGGACGGAGACTGGCCGGTGTGAGAACGCTTTCCGTGGCCCGGCCCTCCCGCCCATTACCCGCAGTCCCAGGCGCTCATCGGGCCACTGCCTGGAGGCGGGCAGGGGACGCCCAGCCCTTTCACCGGCTCCAGATTCGGGAACCCGCCCGCCCTGCGCGGCCGGCCCTAAGTGCCAGGCCTTCCCCGGTGCTGCGGACCCTGGGCGGGGTGGGCGTGGCCGGAGTGCGGGGGGCGGAGGTGAGCGCCCACCGCGCGCCCAGCCAGTCCTTGCGCCCAGCCCGGAGCTGCTTCGAGCGGGAGCTCAGCGCCGTTTTCCAGATTATTTTGGGGCGCTGACTCGGGAGGGTACCCTTGGGACCCCCGAGCTGTTAGGGCGTCCGGCACTCAATGCCTTGGACAAATGGTCTGGTCCTCACGACCTGCGTGGAGTACAGATTGTCACCCTTGGAAACGACTGCAGAAGAAATGTGTCATTTTGCCAAGGAAATAGAAGTCCAGGGAGTTTTCCAGATTTATTCAAACTGGGGGGCCTGTTGAGGCAAGGGAAAAAAGCCAGCAGAATACCTTCTCCAGGGCTTCTAAACGATGTTTTTGACGGTGTGACCAGAACTTAAGACAATTTTAAGTAAAGCTCTTTGCAGCCATTTTTCCATCTCTTTTAGCCGCTTTTTTTTTTTTTTTGGTAATTTACTTTGTAACAAATCACCACGGTACAACAGAAGCTACACTGTCTTCTAATTCTTTGCATCCTCTCTTACCTCCTTTTTTTCCCCCAGAAAAAGGCTAAAGAAATTAGTTTCATTTTATGTATGTGTATATTTTTTTAATATATATATATAATTGTAGTTTAATTCTCTTAGAGTGTAACTTGCTTTACAGAGCTATAGTTACTCATTTGGTCATGTATAAAAGATAAACTGGCAAAAAATACTACAGAAATTTACAGTTCCTTTCCAGTGCAACATTTAGGAATTTGAACTCGGGCTCTTAATTATGACCTTGCTACAGAGTTCTTTAAAATGTAACAGAAATCAGTCAAACCATGAAAAAAGTTATTTTCATTTTTAAAGTATTTAAATGCCTTGTGATTTTTTAAAAATATGCTCTGAAGCATTTCTTCTTCATTTAGAAGAAACTGAGTTTGTGTTTCCTAGGCTCTAAATTTTCCACTCCCTCTTATTCCTAAGTGGTTAACTAGAGCCCACATGTTAGCGACTATATATAAACATCTACACTTCAGGCTAAATATAGTGTTGAATATTTTAGAGTCCACAGTATCTTGCCTAAGTCAAAAATACTCTGTGTGTGTGGTAAAATTGAATTTTTAGTTTGCTAGTGTTACAAAATCGGTCTGAACTTAATTTTTCACACAAAACACATAGGTCTGCAACACTGAGTGTTGGATTCCTATTGTGCTTGGGAGGATGTGGCACTTGAAAAGACAATCAAAGTAAGACACTGACCTCAGTCACTAATTTCTCTGTTCCTATTCCTCAGATGCTTCCAGTTTTCATGAAAACGGAAGGATGAAACATATTGGAAAACCCTGTGATGTTTTTAGTTTAGATATGTGTTTGTCCCAAATAAAGTAAAGCAATTTTTCAATTCAGTTTCATTAGGACCTCATTCTTTAATTTTTTTCAATTTTGCTTTAGATAACATACATATGACACCAACATGTTTATTAGAATACTGTCAATGACGTTAAAACCAAGTGCTTAGCTATCCTCAAGGTTGGGGGAACGATAGGTACCAGTTTAAATAGGGAGGACACCTCAGTTCATTCCCAAAGCATGCAGAGAGGAATCAAGATAATTATCAAGTTCTGAATCAGCTCTTCCCAGCATGGCCTCTGTAGTTAAAATTATAGGATATCTAGCATGGTCCTAAATTTCAGGTAAAAATCCCAAAGTGCATAGAAATGATTTTTGTTTTAGCTGTGCTACTATTCAATTAAGTTCTCACAATTACTCTTCATATGTTGTCTTTCAAAGCCAGTTGGTCATTATTCTGTAGCCCAACAAAGAATTCCGTTATCAATTTCATAAGTGGAACCACACATATTATCAAGAAAATGAAGTACCGCTTGTATTTTGAGGGGAGGAAGAGGTTTACATTAGGAATACACCCAACCAAATTTAGACTGTATCTTTAAATAGTTTTATTTTTTTTTAGGATTTTTTTATTACAGGGTTTTCCTCTATGACTGATAAAATCTGCAATATAATTAATATAAAGTCCTATCAAATGACCATTCCGTACTTCAAGAAAAGGTTGCAGCTTCTTAAATGGTCTTTCCAGAGACCATGCAGGTTGCCAAAAAATGGCTCATAGCTTGTTTTAAATTTTTTTTTACATTGGGGGTCAAGCTAACCAAATTTAATTTGAATCTTTAGATACCTTTATTTTCATTTAAACATATCATGCATTTAAAATATAAAGTCAAATTTACGAGTACTGTCTTAAACTTTTAAAATGCAGGATGAAGACACTGTTTGAAGAGATCAAAGCATCAATTAAAAATAACTATAACCAAGATCGCTCATTTTGGAGACCTGTTCTTCCTTGGGGAGGTGTTTTTACTATCAAAGCTGGCCGCAAAGCAGTATCCTGTACACCACTGTATGTTGAAATAAGACTGAAAAATACCTGCACCATAGATGGATTCTTGATGTTATTGTATGTTATTCTCAATGAAAATGAAAATTTCCCCAGGGAACTCTCTCTTCATTTAGGTAGAGAGTTTATAGACTGTTTTCTTTATTTAATGGACACCTACAGCTTTACAACTGTGAAGCTACTTTGGATTTGGGACAAAATGGAAAAACAGCAATACAAATCTGAAGTTCATAAAGCTTCATTAATAATTGATTTGTTTGGGAATGAGCATGATAATTTTACAAAAAATCTTGAAAATCTCATGTCGACCATACAAGAGAGTTACTGTTCCAACTGGCGATGCCCAACTCGAGTGCAGGAAGATCAGCAGCGCACAATTAATATAAAGTAAGTTGCTCTAAAGTCTGTTTTGTCACCTTTAGCAAAAATAGTATACTTTTTTATAATGAATGATATATATATAGAGATAGGGAGGGAGGTAGATAGATATAGTCAAAGTACTTCTTAAAGTACAGACCCGTGTAACAACTTACACATAAAGCAACCACGCAAATGCAAGACTCTATTAGGTCCCATGACAAAAATGTAATTCTTCTATTACATCCAAACATCTCAGAATTTACTTTACAAAACCAGTTGATAACTATTTCACTTGCAAAGTAATGAACTATTCAGTATGCAAAATGTTTTCCTCTTGCTCAGAGTTTACTAATATGACTGTGAAGATAACTAATTCCTTGTGTCACAAATTTAACCTCTTGAACAACACTTAATACTATATTGGGATGTTTCACTCTGAATGGATCTCTGTCAGGTAGGCTAGTTCTACATGAACAGGAAGATTGAAAGTACTCCATGTCATGGCCAGGGCATGATTAGAGACAGGAACCCCAAACTTGAAATGTTAATACCTGAAGAGGACCTGGATGTGAGGAATTTTTCATTGGCTAGGAAAGGTTCTGATAGCTTGCTGAGTATTTTGGGCTTTCGGAGAGAAGATAGACCTCCAAGCTGGTAAATGACAGGGAGGAAGGCCAAACTGGCAAGCCCTAGTGGAGTATTGGGAAACATTAATGCCCCCAGGGGACATGAACAAGAAAAGGGATAATTGCCAGTGGAAAAAAAAAAAAAAAACAGGACAGAAAAACAGACCCAAACACATTGCTGTCAGAAAGCCTACTTGGCCCTGTGGTCCAGGAAAACAGACCCAAACACATTGTTGTCAGAAAGTCTACTTGGCCCTGTGGTCCAGAAAAATAGAACCAAACACATTGTTGTCAGAAAGCCTACTTGGCCCTGTGGTCCAGAAAAACAGCCTAATAGATTTGCTCCCTTTTGGGAATGTATGTTACATACCTGAACTTACTAAATTCACATTTTCTGTATAGCATATTTAGTTTAATACTGTATTATAACATCATGCTACATAGGGAAAGCGGAAGATACGTTATTTTTTTTAGGGTCTACCAATTAATGTCTCTCTTGTTCTGAAATACACTTTGTCCATTTTCCTGTATTGCTGATATGATGATGTTGGTTTTGAAATCTCCATCAGGAGAAAAAATTGTTACTCTAAATCATAATGGACTAAAAAAAGTGTTTCAGAAATTTGCCTTGTTTTTAAAAAACTAGTATCTTTTTATATGTATATCTTTTGAAACTATAATGAAATATTTACAATCCTATATTAATACTAGTATTTTATGATTCTCAATAAAATATTTTTCATTATACTCTATATAACTTTTTAAGTCTTTTGCCTGTTTTTTAATCCTATGTTTAAAACAACCTCTGAAGTATGTAGGAAAAAAATTTTTTTTAACAAATCAGGAAACTGAGGCCAACAATGGCTGTAACTTGCATTGAGTCAGGTAACTAAGCAGCTACTCTCCTAATTCTGGGTCCTGCTTTCTTCGTCAAGACCAGAATCCACTCTATTGAATCCTCTCAGAAATTTTTAAAGTAACGACTGCATGTTTCAGGATCAGTTTATAGAAAGATTTAATGTTTCTTGAAAGCTTCATGCATTGATGTTTATTAAGTTCAACTGGTTTCTATACTGTGTATAAGAAATACAAAGATGAATAACAGGTTATACTTTGATATGTGGTTTGCTAATAATGACCTGTAAAATTTGTTATCCTAATAATGTATTTACATGTAAAATATTGAAACAGTTCTTACATGCATTTTGCAATTGTTGTAGTCCTCCCCAAGAAATTCCACATGGAAACTTGATACGACTGGCTGTGGATGAGTTATTCTGTTCCAGGATTGAACTGTGTGAAGAGTGTGGGTGAGTGTATGATAGACATTTAAGATGAAAGTATTTGTACGTTTTTTATAAAGAAACCTGTACTGGTATGTTCTTTGATGTTAATATTTTATGAAATAGCAACTCATAAGTATTTAGAAAGCCTAATAGTTTTGGAATCTTAACACCTTCTAGTTTACTATGCCATTTTATGCTGTGTTGTCATTATCAATATCACTATATAGAATATAATACTACAGTTACTTGATGAATACAAAGCAAATACCTTTTCTTTTTTTCCCTACTGCTGAGTAGGTACAATAAAACCTTGGTTAACCGGAACCCAGCTAATCGGGACCCTCAATTAACTGGATTTTTTTCTGCACTCCTCATTTAGGAGAAAGAGGTAAATGACAACCAAAAAGTTCAACGTGGTTAAAAAAAAAAGAAAAGAGAAAGGAAATACAAAGGGGCAGAACATATTCATCCCAGTCTCAACAATTTTTATATCTACAGTATTGTGCAATGAGAATTAATATTTAGAAGGGTGATCCTATGGCCTAATTAATCACAAAAGAAGGAAAGAATAAAATACCTTCAGTTAATTGTACTTAAGTCCAAAAAGTGAACGAGTGTATTTTTGCAACAAATACTGAAACAAAATGGTTTTCTGGTAACTTAGTTTAGTCAGTGTTTTTTTAACCAAAATACTGTGCCCTGAGCATTCCGGTTAATCGAGATTTTACTGTATAATTGTGTTTGTTTTATTCTGATCCATATACTTAATACCTGATACTACTAAGAAAACAGAATTTGCTTCATCCTAATGGCAAAAGGAAGCAAGTAGGGAATTTCATCCAGTCTAAAGAAGACTGTAAGAGTCATCTTATTCCCTCTCTGCCATTATTCCAGTTTGAAACCAGCCTAGAGAAAGAAAAATGTATTTACAAATAAAAACTTTTCTATCAGTCTAAAAGATACATGTTTTTATAAGCTTAGATAAACATAGCTAGCCTTTCCTGGAGTTTTAAAAGTATCATTTCCTATATAGAGAATCTCAAAGTTTATTAACTCTGGGAATTAGGCATATAAGGTATTAATATAGCCATACTGTTGATGTATACCCATACCTAAAATAGATAATTATGCTTATTATGAAATTATGTAATAAAGGCAACCCAGAGTGATAAAAGGCAGCTTTGTCCCAAGTGTAGTAAAGTTCATGCCTATTTTCAATTTTAGGTGTGGTGGCTTAAGGGAATTTTCCCAGCGAGTATTCTGCCACGGGGCACCCCCTTTTGTTGTCTTAAATATGCAGCATTGGAAATCTGAAGATCTGGCATATGTACCCTATTACTTGGATTTATCTGATCACAAGTATGTGTTTTTTTGTTTGTTTTATAAAACTAGTAAAAAATAAATTTATTTCTATATTTTTCTGCTATTCTATCATGATTTTGAGTAGCCCTTAAGGGAAATACGTATTGTTGGAAAAGTCATAACTATCTCTAAATTTATGTAGCCTGGATAAGGTCAGAATCTACTGCAGGGAGTCATTGCTGTCAGTGTGCGTAGTGGTTAGGTGCTTAGACTATGGAATACACTATGGAATAGCCCTACCTTACAAGCTATGTGACCTTGAGCCAGTAACAACCAGTTTACACGTCAGTTTTCTTATCTATTGAACAGAGATAACAGTATCTATCTGGTGCCATTATTGTAAGGCTTTAATAAGATAGCACATGTGAAGTGTTTAGTACCTGAGAGATAGTAAATAGTCAGTAAATTCTGGTTGGCTATTACTTGTATTTCAAGTCAAAGTAGTGTATAGTATGAGGTCATCATTTAAACATAAAATGTTACTGTCATCATTAGATTAAGATATCTGCATACAAATTAGGACATACAGTGTTCTTTTAACTTTTTGCCTTAAAAATTTTCTTGTGTGTATTTTATATAACAGAACCATGAAGATTATGGGTTAATCTGTTAAAATATGCTTTTAAAAATTCTTAAATGATATCAATTTTTTAAATTCTTAAACATCTTTCTCCAAATTACCAATTATAATACATAATTTTTACAGATGGATATCTTTTACAGAGAATAGAATGCAAATAATCTCAGTTTTTTATTAGTTAAAAATTTAGGGAATGTTTTTCTCAAGAACAAAGTATTGTGATTTTCTGCTACACTTTGTCATTTAATTTGCAGGTATTTGTTAGAAGGTGCCACACTGTTTAACAAAGAGGAACATCATTATTCTGCAGCTTTTCAAATTGATGGACATTGGATGCACTATGATGGCCTCAGAAATGTGAACTTAATTTTGTTAAATAAACCCCCAGAGTTTCTCCTCTTGTCATCATTAGTTTATATTCGAGCAACAGAGAAATAAATATAGACTGATGCTAAATTAAATTGTTTTCCCTCCTGCCCATGCTCCCCCAGATGAAGGGCTTTTATTTTGTATATACTTGGTATCCAAGGAAATAGTTCAGCTATATTAGTTTCAGAGGTGTATTATCTAGTGTTTAGCCCCAGGTATATAGAGAATCTATGCAAAAATGTTTGTATTTCTTTTTTCTATATCCCAAGTTATTTTTATACAAGCATATTTTATGTTGAAATAAAATATATCTTGTAGCCTTTGTATATGTACCTCAAAGGTTTTTTACAGTTCTGTCTTTGAATCCAAGAAAATACTTCATCATTTGAATTATCAGTTTTTCTTTTTGGATATCCAAATAAAACCTGGGTATAAGTCAATTTTCAGTTTATATAAATTTAACAGTTCAAAATGTATCTGACTGTGTTTATTTGCCCTACCTCACTATAATCCAAAGTGCACTACTGGATCTAGTATGGATTTGAATGTACAACTTATAGATGGCTTAGTCTATTTTACCTGTTGATTTGCCTAATGTTCCTGCAACAGTTTTTTAAAATACTTTGGTGAGAATGTTTTTCTGGACTTCAGTTATTTTTTTGTAATGCTAAATTACTTTAACCACTTGTTAAAGTATTAAAAACCTACCAGTGGATTTTAACTTAACTAAGCTCCCAAACTTAAAGTTATTGTTACAGATAAATTATATAACTAATCTAAATGTTTAAATTAAATGTAATAGGAGTTCTCTAGTAAAAGTTTATTTTGCAGATAAGACAATTATAAAAAAAATGTTAGGCAAACTGTATGTTTACTAATGTTGGATGAATAATGGAAATGTACTTTAAATATGGATTTAAGAGAAAATGGGTGCCTGGGAATACAGTTGACCCTTGAACAACTCGGGGGCTGGGGCCCTGACCCCCCACGCGGTCAAAAATCCCCATGTAACTTTACAGTCATCCCTCCTTATCTGTGGTTCCACATCCTCGGATTCAAACAACCGCGGATCATGTAGTACTGTAGTACGTATTTATTGAAAGAAATACACGTATAAGTGGACCCACACAGTTCAAACCCATGTTGTTCAAAGGTCAACTGTATTTCTCTTCCTAGTAAGTCATATTGGCACAGAGGAAAAAATACGTAAATTTTGGGGATAACATCTGTGTGCTCCCTTATAAGTAAATTGATAGCATGAGGCTTTCTTTGATTTGTAATATAAATCACCAGAAGTTTATAGTTATCAGAATATTATGTTTCTTTTCAAAGACCCTAAGATCTCTTTTCCTTTTGCAATTTAAAGGAAAAAAATAAGTAATGTTCTCAAGGGACAATACTTTTTGAAATCTGTCATCATTTATTTTAGTGTTTTCAATAATTAGTCCATCCTAGGTTTTGGGTTGAGATTGAGCGCAATATATTTGGAGATTTCTATACAGCAACACAGTTCACTGCCATATACCAAATTGCTAAGGTTTAATTCAATAAATTAAGTCTTGCATTGCATTGGTGCCATGTTGAGATAACTTACTGAAGAATGAATAAATGTGAGTGCAACGTTGATGAGGATGCCTTTTTATTTTGTGTAAGAAAGGAATATTCATAGTATTTGCTCAAAAAGTGATCTATTTTATTAAAAAAATTCACCCCAGAGTTTATTTAAATTGTTCCCACATGTATTTAAATAGTATTTGATTTATAGTAAACTTTTCTGGGGACACCTTACTGCATGAATCAACTGCATGAATCAAAGTACACAAAAACACAAATATTAGCATATACATAAATGGTATCATTAACAAAATTATTCCTGATGCAGATTTATTCTTTTATAAATTGCACTTTATTTGGAATAATACTAGTTTGTCACGAAACAATGACTTACCTACCTCACAGGGTTGTTGTGAGGATTAAAATGTTTGTTAATATCTTGACTACCTTGAACATGCTAATAAAAAATATTTTTTCTACCTCTTTCATGTACAGGCAAGTCTCCTTGATTCTCTATTACTAATGACCTTTTCAGAGGTCATTAGCTACATATCAGTAATGGCCATATCAGTGGCCACCTGTTCAGACATTTCTTTCTACATATCATATCAGTAACGGAATTAATGTGTAATGAAATTTAAGTATGGCTTCTGGACCCCAGATGGTTAGGATAATAGGTATTTTGCTGTTATGGTGGTAATTGAAGAAATTATTCCCTGCTGACCAAATAGTGAGTAGAAAAGGGATGAAAAAATATGAAGTAAACAAGATTATCACAAAATGTGAAGGTGAGGGTACGGAAGGTGAGGGTATTTTTATAACCTTAAACAGAGAAATCGGAATCCTGGGGGTGGGGATGGGCAAAAGATACGAGGGAATAATCAGAATATATTTTTAATCAAAGTGCCACAAATCACAACTATACCTATGGGGAGAGCAGAAATGATTTTAAAACCCTCACCTCAATCAAAGGGAGAAAAAGAACAAACAAAGCAAATTTAAGGGGAAATGTCCAACATTTAAGAAGTCTCCAACCTCTCTTCAGCCAAAGAAGCTTTACCCACCCGCCACCCAAAACTTAACAAATAATCTTAGATTTATCTTTCAAAGTAGCTTTTCATTATTAGGGTTGACTTAACATCTGAGGCATTGTCACTGGATCGGATCCAATCAAAGAGAAAGAGGAACAAAGATCACTACCACAGGCATGCTTACTAGGATGAATCCTAGGTTCTATTTCATTCTTAAGAGTATGAGCAAACAACTAAGCTATATAAGCAGATGACTACTGTGACACATAAAAAGCTGTACGTATTGAGCATATATCAACAGTTTAGTTTTATAATTAAATGAGTTAATAACATTTAATTATTTGACAGTAATTGTAATGCACTATACCTAAGCAGGAAAGGTAAACAGTTCATGTAAAAATGACTGCAATTACTACTACTAAACTCCAGCCTAAGCAAACATTTATATTCTTCTCACCTTCCTTTGTTAAAATCAAAAGTTAAGATCACATAGCTTTTGAAGTTCATTTTAACCACTTGATCCCTTACTAACAAACAGGGTTCCTACCCACCCAACTGGCCCAGGGTTCACTGTCTAGTCAACTGGATGGCCTTTAACTTCAAATTTAATTTGATCTCAGGAAATACACGCTTTTACTTTATTTCTGGGAAGTTGAGGAAGTTGGTGGGGAGGACTCTGCAGCTAGAAGCTTTCTTTATATGCTGATATCTACCTGAGGATATAAAATTATTTACCCTCAAAGAGCAATCAGTTCCACAGTCCATCCATTGTTTTCTCAATGAGGTCTATAAGGTATCAAAAGGAGTACCACTGAAAATGAAAAAGTGAGCTACTCTGGTAAGGCCCTCAAAAATGATGTGGTATGGAACAAGAGCTTGGGGAGCCGATGAGCTGTGCAGACAACAGTGTGGTAAAATTAGAAACCTGCTGTTTGTATGCTTAGCTATATTTTTATTACTTGCTTGTTTTCCCTTTGAATTTTGTAAAGTCTAATTTTTCAGATGATTATAAAAATAATACATAAATCAGTAAGAAATCAATAAAACCAAAAAAGCTGTAAAGAAGAAAATGATCATCCATGATTTCTCCACCCAATGATAATCATTGGTTCATACTGGTAAAGACTTTTTGAAAAGCCCACCATGGCCCCACAGTACTGAAGAAAACCAAGAACCAGGGAGTTCCGGCTTTGAAGAAAGACGTGTATACTCCTGGGGGCCAGCATAGCAGTGATAGAAGTAATCAGCTTGACAAAATGTGTACAGGAAAGTGAGACTCTGAAGGAAACTGCAGTGGCCACCTGTTCAGACATTTCTTTCTACCTGGACACTTGCCTTCAGATGCTTTTATTTTCTCAAATTTTCAAGAACTCATTCTATTTTATGAAAGATGTCATTCCTTTATGTTCCTCTACCTACATTTCAAAACTAGTATCCCAGGTGCCAGAGTCGGGAAGCAAGAAGATCCTGATGGTATAGACTGTTCCCAAACAGATACAACCAAATAGATTTTCTATATTTCCCTGTTAATCTAACAGAGAGTGTAACAAAGAAAAATCAAAGTACACTGAGCATAATTAGCTTGCTTTAAGAGTAGAGTAGGAAAAAGTTGGCTGAGAGAGTTTGTGAAGAGTGGGGGAACCAGCACGATAAATAGTTCTGCATAACCAACATACGGGAAGGAAGGAAAGGAGGAGAGGAGTGAAGGCAAGAAACACAGGAGAGTTGATTTGTGCTCAGGTCAAGAAGACACCAGGTTAGGGCTTCCCTGGTGGCGCAGTGGTTGAGAGTCCGCCTGCCGATGCAGGGGACATGGGTTCGTGCCCCAGTCAGGGAGGATCCCAAATGCCGCGAAGCGGCTAGGCCCGTGAGCCATGGCCGCTGAGCCTGTGCGTCCGGAGCCTGTGCAACAGTGAGAGGCCCGCGTACCGCAAAAAAAAAAAAAAGAAGACACCAGGTTAAAGCTTAAATGAAATAGTTAGCTGGTTAGGGAAATCTTTGCCCAAGCAGGCTAAGTTTGATTTGAGGGCTACAAGCTGGAACAAGTTAATAGCAGACGTACTTTCTCTACAGCATCCATTTAATAATACTTAATATCCACTACTTGCTAATAGAATTAGAAATGATTTCTGCCCTGGAGGTATGCACATGTCTAAAAAGGGGGAACGGTGAGTCAATCAATGATGACTGTACAGAGGGAAGTACTATGGCAGGGTGAGCACCTCAGGCTCTGAGTACAGAGGAGGGACGGTTCTACAGACAACTGCTGTGAGGTCTTTGAAACAGTCCTTTCCCAGTTGCTACCTAGCATCCCTGGAGGAGATTTTGGAGGAAAGAGACTACAGATTGTTCAACTTGTGATTTCAAAGGCAATTGAAACTGCACAACTCAGATTGGGACTTGAACCACTGCGTTTTAATTGAGATCACACACCAGGTCTCAGGACTTAATGAAGCTCAAGTTTTTTATGTTTTGTCACAAAAAGAATTCAGTGAGAGACAAAGTGATAGGTAAGAAGTGGATTTATTTAGAGAGATACACATTCCATAGAATGTGGTCCATCTCAAAAGGCAAGAACAGCCTTGGGAGAAACACATTCCACAGACAGAGTGTGGGCCATCTCAGAAGGCAAGAGGCCCCAAAATATGGGGTGGTTAGTTTTTATCAGCTGGATAATTTCACAGGCTAATGAGTGGGAGGATTATTCCAACTATTTTGGAGACAGGGTGGAGATTTCCAGGAATTGGGCCACCACCCACTTTTTGGCCTTTTATGGTTGGTCTCAGAACAGTCATGGCGCCTGTGGGTGTGTCATTTAGCATGCTAATACATTACAATGAATGTATAATGAGGCTCAAGTTCTACTGGAAGCTGAATCTTCTACCATCTTGGACCTAGTTGGTTCCAACCAGTTTTTGTTGTGTCCTCAATGGCTATGTCATTCTTTTAAAGGTTGTGCCCTGTCCCCTTTCCGTCTGCTTCATTATTGCCTCTACGTCTAACTACAAAGCCTAACCATTTTAAACTTCCATTAGAAAGTTATAACTCCTAAAATTAAAGACAAATTTCAAACCCCATCAAATTTTAAAAGAAATTTATTGTAGCTGAAGTTCTTTCTTTCTATTAATTCTTTCTTCCACAAAGAATTAATAATATCAAATATTTTCTAATTCTCACTGGAGGGAAGATAACTTGAGAAAAAAATGAGACAGCCATTGGGACCAGTCTTCTTTAAATACTCCTGGACTTGTGGAGGGACAGGATTGGTGATTCCAAACTCTTGCCATTTTCTACATGAACACTAGGTGGCAGAAGCTCCCCAATATAGAATGTACAGGATGGAGCGAGACCCATTCCTGAACTTTCTGGCCTTTAAAATTTGGGCAAGGCAAGCACAATTTTCCCTCAGTTCTACGACACTATAAGCACTCATAGCTTGGGGATAACATACAATGGTGTTGTCTTTGGTGAGGCTGACTATGCTCTCTGCCAACAACAATCCAGCTCAAATTATACCTGTAAATTGACTTCTGGGATTTCTTCATCACTTCCACAACCCTCATGTTTCTGGCCTCCTCTCTGTTTTCTTCAGCTCTTCTTTGAAAAGGGTTAGGAATTCCCGTCCCTAGAGAGTTTATGGAAAATGCCAGAAGACTTAATTCAGGATTGACATTTTTCACCTAGGAAAAAAATAATGGAATTTCAGACTTTTGAGGTGAATCGTGTTACGTGATCACATTACCACTGGATTCTCTTTATTACCATCAGTTCTCGACTACTGATTTTCTTGATGTCAATTAGGGGCAAGAGTATGGCAGTTAAATGCCTAGACTCTGAAACCAAATTGCCTGGGTCCAAATTTGGACTCTGTCATTAGTTGTGTGGCTTTGGTCCTATTACTTAACTCTTCTGTTCCCAGTTTGCTAACTGTAAAATGGAGATAATAATAGAATATATCTCATAAGGTTGCGGTGAAGATTTGATGAATTATTATTATAGCACTTAGTGCCCAGCACACAGTAAGCACCATAAAAGTGTTTGCTACAGTTATTTTTGTTTTTTGTTTTGGCTGTGTTGGGTCTTCGTTGCTGCGCACGGGCTTTCTCTAGTTGCTGGGAGCGGGGGCTACTCTTCCTTGCAGTGCGCGGGATTCTCATCGCAGTGGCTTCTCTTGTTGCGGAGCATGGTCTCTAGGCACATGGGCTTCAGTAGTTGTGGCTCGCGGGCTCTAGAGCATAAGCTCTAGAGCGCATGGGCTTAGTTGCTCCGTGGCATGTGGGATCTTTCCAGACCAGGGCTGGAACCCATGTCCCCCGAATTGGCAGGCGGATTCTTAACCACTGTGCCACCAGGGAAGTCCCGCTACAGTTACTGTTGACTCCTCTTTCAATATTCTATTTTTTAAAAATATTTGTTTAGCTGCGCCAGTTCTTAGTTGCAGCATAAGGGATC